TGTGTGTGTGTGTGTGTGTGTGTGTGTGTGTGAGTGAGTGAGTGAGTGAGTGAGTGAGTGAGTGTGTGTGTGTGTGTGTGTGTGTGAGTGTGAGTGAGTGAGATTTAAGATACCAGAAAGAGAGACATAAGAATACAAAAGATCAGAAGAAAGAAACTCACAATGTTACAATCTCTTTAAATTCACTTTGTGGCCAAAAGTACATGGACACCTTCATCATGTGAAAGTCCAACATGTCGTCCTTCAAACACAGATCTGTTGATGTTTGTTTTGGATCCATTTGGAAACAGAGGTCAGGGAGACGGAGGACTCAACCAAACATCAGACTTTCAAAACGTTTCCAACACCAAGGCTGTTTCATAACCTTGTAGCCTGTAACCTATTAGTGATGGGTTGATGATAACATCACTCCAAAGCTGGTGTTACTCCTGTAAAGTACACTATTTCACTTCCAGGTTAAGGATGCTGCAAAGTGGTTCCAAATTCAATACTGTGCGTAACTGTCATTTTTTCCAATGAAGGTTAAAAAATGCAACAAAAACCATTTTATATATCTTAAAATTATACTCATCGATTACAAGGTTTTGAGACTCGGTGTTAAGAAAAGTTGACTGTTGTTGGAAAAATGGGAAACACACAGCTGTCCAATTAATACAATACAATGCAACAGATGACGTCCAGATGTTCAAATATCACTTCATGTACCTCATTAAGTTTTGCTGCTAAACTAACATTTGCTCAAGTGATGCCCAGGTTGATAGAAATCAAAGGAACAACTAAATAACAACCATGCAGTATTTAGGCACAGTGAGGCTTGGAGCTAAAAGCTAATATGCTCATATTGATATTGCTGATGTTCACCATCTTCGTTAAGACTGTTGGCATCCAGCTGTTTAGCAATAAGCCCAAACTACAGGTAAGAGTTGTACAGATATTTGTTCTTAAACCAATTGAGCAAGTCTGACCAGATGGTGGCACTGGCAAAAAAAAAATGCAGACACTCACCGGTGTGAGTAGGAATTATCCTCTGGGAACCATGAACGTCTGAACTAAACGTGGTGACTATCCATAAAGAAAATATTGAAATATTTCACAGGGTAAGGGGGAACTTTGACGTGCTGGTGGTGCTAGAGGAAAAGTCAAGGAATCACCAAAGTCAGTAGGACTCATCCTCTGGGAGTCTTGCATGTGTGGTCCAAATATCGTGGTTATTTATTGAAATGTTGTTGAGATATTTTAATCTGGACCCAAGTGTTGGACCAAGCTGGCTATAATCGCTCAAAACATGACGAAGAACACTAAATTACATTATTATAAGCGAGAGAACATCTCCATGTAATATCAATTAATGTGTCATCAAATTCATAATTTATTATATGTCAATGTTATCAATTTAAGTGAAAACCAATGAGCTGAGAGTGAGAAATGGGCCCTTACAGTAACTACAATTTTAATGTAATACTTTCAAATATTCTATGTCGATCGATAATGTCTTGTTATTTTACGGCAGAACATTTAAACATGGTTATGGGTCAAAATAAACAACACATTTATAACCAAACTAACATTAAAACACCAAAAGCATTTATTACACCCGTCACCAATGATCAACATTTGGGGTGCAAAACAACCAGATTAATTCCAGGTGGTGGACCCCCCTCCTCATCGCAGACAGTTGGTTTGTTCCACTTCCTGTTCGTAGAGTATAAGAGGCCATTTTAATCACGTGGCTGCATCTCACTTCGGTTAAATTAAAATCTGCGTCCCTCACTTGCGCCGACCACGAGAAGTGACAAGCAGCCCATGTGTGTGGAGGACTTAAACATGGAGCTAGTAGTTGCAGACAGGTAAACCAAACTGTGGCGTAACATGTGTTTGGGGGCAGTTGAAATAAACAATGTACAACATGTGACTTAGTAAGAATACCTCCAAAAAAAGTAGCCAAAGTTTGGTAGAAAAAACGAATATCTTAAAGAGGAAACATCATGTCTTGGGTGATTTAGAAGGTTTTTATATGCTTTAATATTCCATCCATCCGTCTTCTCCCGCTTATCCGTGGTCGGGTCGCGGAGGTAGCAGTTCCAGCAGAGAGCCCCAAACTTTCTTTTCCCTGGCCACATCAACCAGCTCTGACTGGGGGGTCCCAAGGCGCTCCCAGGCCAGCGAAGAGATATAATCCCTCCATCTGGTTCTAGGTCTACCCCTTGGTCTCTTCCCAGCTGGACGTGCCTGGAACACCTCCCTAGGGAGGCGCCCAGGTGGCATCCTAACTAGGTGCCCGAACCGAAGTGCTTTAATATTAAAAATCACATTGTTCTTTTCATTTTGTTTGTCTGAAATGCTCTGTTTTAGCAATGTATCCATCATTCTGAAAAAGCCCAGTCTGCTATGACTGCCTTGCGAGATACATTTCAAAGCTGCATCTCAAGCTGTGGGTGGAGAACACTCAGATTTTGGGATGGGAATCTTGTAATGAGCCTGCATTTACCATGGGAAGGGGAGCCAAATCTGAATGGCTTGTTAAATCCCAAGAGGCAGAACACAAAAACTGGGTTTGTTTCAAAGTCTGTGGTTTGCAGTTAGTTAGAAAAGTGAGTCTTTTGCAAGAGGAAATAACCTTACAGTAACATTGTGATACATGCATTCAATGATTGTTGTCCTGTATCTGGGAGAGTAACGTGTCTCTTTAGCTCATAAATGTTTCTGTGTAGTACGTGAACTCTCTCCAAATCTAGAAGTGTTAGTAAGATATATGTTAATTATTTTTTGTGCAGTGTCTGGTCACATGTTCTCAAGGTTTGAAAAGCTTATCGGAAGTCCCATTTTACAAATCTCCTTTATGATTGTACTTGTATTTTTAAACAGTATATGAGTAAAACAAATCGACTTAATCATGAATATAGGCATTTGAAACCTAAAACTGAGACCGTGACGCTGCTGGCCACCTGAGCTCAGATCTATCTGGTTTATTGATCTCTAATTGATTGTTTCCTTCTCTGTCTGATCCTCCAACAGCTTTCAGGAAGAATGTGAAACTGGAGCTGCTGCGACCTCAATCCTCCGCCTCCTCCTATGCAGACAGCTATGTCAAACTCAGGAACCGTTACCGCAGGAAACCCCCGGGGCCAGTGTTCTTAGGAGGGACCGCCCGCCGTGGTTGACCCTGCCCTGGGTGACGGGGGACTCCATGGTCAGGCTCGCCCTCGCAACACCACCTGCACCACAGCCACCTTCCTGTTGATTCGGCGATCATACCACCACTACTTCCTCTTCCTGTTTCTTGAATCACTGGAAAATGGCGATGGGTTTGAAGCCCCCGAGTGTCCCGAGCGTCTTCTCTCTGGTGATACTTAAAAGCTGCTGGTTGCTTTGCTCCACCACCTCCCAGAAGCCCGGCGTGTTGGCGGACTCCCAGCTTCCCCAGCAAGAGTTTGCCCACTCCATCCGGCTGGACGGGGACATCATCCTGGGCGGATTGTTCCCCGTTCACTCCCGTGGCGATAGGGGCGTCCCCTGTGGAGAACTAAAGAAGGAGAAGGGTATCCACCGTCTGGAGGCCATGCTTTTCGCCATCGACCTCATCAACAAAGACCCGGACATCTTGCCCAATGT